GAGAGAGAGAGAGAGAGAGATGGTGGGAAGAGGGAGAGAGAAGTAGCGATGGTGGATGGTGGAAGGCGGGAGAAAGGCCGAAGGTGGGATGGTGGGAAGCAGCGGAAGAAGTCAGGAGGGGGGAGAGAGAGAGAGAGAGAGAGAGAGAGAGAGAGAGAGAGAGAGAGAGAGAGAGAGACTCTTTTTACTTTTGCTATTTAGAGTTTTCATAGTTGGATGTTGAAGTCTGTGGTGGCTGTCAAAGTTAAACCCCTTGATCTGCTTCCAGGCCTCTCATGATGGAGCCCCGTTCCCAGGGTCAGAGGCGTTTGGCCGCCGCTAAGCGTAGAAGCCCGCCTACCTCTCCTCTACGCAGTGTGTAGAAGAGGGTAGGTCTCGCAATCGCGCTTGCGATTGTCTAGCGTCAAGGGATTAACCCCTCAAGACGCGTGTCAACCGATGCTTAATTGTCGAAAACGACCCTCAAAATCCTTGAGGACCGCGTGGTTATGGGAACCACATAGTATGCCATGATTGCGACCACTTGCGTATTCATGCATGGTTGGTCGATATGACGAAGTCTATATCGCCGGGGTATTTATTCAGAGTCGCGTGCACGACACTTACCTAATTCTTTCAGTGAAAGTTATGGGTCGAATGTGAACAAGGGACTAGGTGCGATTTACGTACGAAACTTGATTTTGTTTTGAGAATTATGTCGCGTGGTTAGATTGGCAGTCCTAGTCGACCAACGTAGGATCTTGTTCGGGAGATTAGCGCCTCGGACAGTGATTCACTCACGGGTTCGATTCGGGCGGTAATCGCATGTACCCCCTATGCTACAGAGAACGAGAAACGCCCTCAGTCGGGCCACCTCTGCGATTGCATACGAAAAACCTTCGCATGTGGTTCGGTTGCTCGGCGGGGATACGCCCACCTAAGGGATGGTGACCGCTCCTACGGGCGGAGGTAAGTTGTACCTCGCGTGACCCTATCCCGTCGTAGGGGTTGGCAAGAGGTATGGCTGGCACACTCGGTCAGAGCAGCAACGCTCTGCAACAAAGTCTTGCAAAATCCTGCATGACGCGCCCAGGAGGGTCCCCTTTGCGGGACCGATGCGCTCAACAACGGTTAAAGTGAAACCAAATGAGCCAACAGCAGGAGTAACCCTTTCTATATGGCCTGCAAAGGTAGGAGAAATAGTCCCTGCGGTGCTAGAAGGTCCTCCCTCTACCTCTCAAGCAAAAATGGCAGTGTCTACTGACCTTGCTGTTACCCCATTTTTCAAAGTCAGACCAAGTGATCCTTTGGTCTTAGGATGTGACGAACTCCCTAGAAAAGGTGGAAGAAAACTTGCTAGAATTGATGGCCTCTTGGATAATTATGGCAGATGATCCAAAGGGAGAGTTAATCACTATAGAAGTGAATGACCTTAAAGCAGGGTCCTTAGCCGATATATATTGACTCACAGTTACATCAGTTGGGCTTGTGTGGAGAAGTTGCATGCAGCTGCTAAGTAGACCTGTAGTATCTACGTTAGCCAACAAGAAAAGATTGTTGTGAAAGACTGCATCAAGAAAGTGGTTTGTACATCCGAATAATAGAGATAAGTTGTCTTTTCTTAGGAGCGATGAACTTGATACTACTTGGAAGTGGCTAAGGCACAAATAGAGTGGATGTTAAAAACCTTGTGGAACAAGAGTCTAGAAGAAAAAAATCGCTATTTGAGGACGTATTCATATCATTATGGATGCTTGTGTTGAAGTTTGTTTTACAGCTATTGGAGGCAAACCAAGAAGAGCATATGTTCTTAGTGTTTGTCCCCAAAGGGCCAGGTCATCAAGATCCCTAAAGAGATTGTTAAAATCATCGCTGAGTATCCAGACCTGCATGAATAAGTGAGTGAAGTCGCGGATATGGTGATAGTCCATGTGATAAAGGTTTCCCGGTGAGCAAAACCCCAAAAGACACGATATACGGTGTCGTCTTCAGAGTTAGATGAGCTTTGCTGACTAACCAAGGTTGGATTAGACCCGGGGAACTCGCTAACAAATGTTGGGTAAGGCCACCAGGAACTGTCTAACATTTGTTGTCCAGAATTATTCTTCCGTGATTGTGCATAATTTCAGCAATTGTCTTCTGTTTGGGGGGGGGGGGGGGAAGACGTGTGAATGTGTTGCAGTGCCTCTGGTGGTCAGGCATGAAGAGAGATGTTCATGCATATGTTGAGGGTTGCCAGGTTCTTGAAACGGACAAACCATGCACACAAGCACCTCACCATGCATGCAAGCACTTCTATGCTTGTTGAAGCCTCTCCCTGTAACCCCCTGATTGAGGTCGGTCTGTGGCCATGCACTTCATGGACACACTGGTGATCAGCAGAAACGGTAACAGGCAGAAATTTGTTATACTCGATAGATTTTCTACATTTGCCCGTTACCTATGTCAGCTACACGCTGCTACAGCAAAAACAGATAGGGATGTGAGGTTCACAAGTGAAATGTGGCATGACCTAGCTAAGAAGCTAGGATGAGAACTGAGGATGACTTCAGGAAAATAACGCAATGCATTCAGCCACAGGTCAATCACCCAACCAACTGCATTTAGGCTGGAAACCCAAAACTCCAGTGAATTTCCAGACTCTGAAACACGGTCACCCCCTGGACGAATAGAATACACCCTTGAATATGACCAGATGTTGCAGAAAACTGTCTAGCAGCTACAAAAACCTCAAAGGGACATGATACAATCATGAAATCGGCATAGACAAATGCTCACTTTCCAGGTTGGTGATTTGGCATGGTCATCTGACTTTGATGCAGCAGAGAATTATCACGCAAACTGATACCACAATATTATCGACCACCAACGATCGTAGACATTGCAGGAGTTGATCCTCACGGTCCAACTTATGTGATTGATGCCCCTCCTCACCTTCAAACATCTCATGCATCCAAACTTGTGACCTTTTCAAAGAGCAATCAGTTCCCTTCTCGGGGGCCCATGCTGCCTCTAACGATAGGCGGTCAAGCCGAAATTGACCGTAGTTTGGAACACAGTCTGTTGCCTGTGCCCAAGCCATCAGGCAGAAGACCACCAAAACCTGAGTGCAGTTACAAGTTCGCTTCAGACATCATGTGGATCCAAGCGAAGACAGGTGGTTCACCAGGGAAGGAATTGATTAAAGTATGTGACCCAAGTGGTTTCACACTATGAGAGGCCTCTCAAAGACTCAAAGGAAAGCAACAGCAAGCATGAGGGTATCTCAGAGGACTTTCGAACCTAAGGGAGTGGGAATGTGAGGTTCTCAGGCCTCAGCCGCCCTGTAGTGGGTGTGGCAGAATCAGCCTGGGGGGTCCTACGTGAAGGCCCCAACCAGGCAACCACTCCGTAGGCCCAATCAGAGATTGAGCAGGTGCCTGGCGCAGGTTGCAGACTGGTAGCCAGCCCCTAATCAGAGATTCCAGACCCCAGATATAGCAGGTCAAAGAAGAGAAGGCACCAATGGGCTTAGCTCAGTTGGTACACCCGTAAACTGTTAAAATGCAGACATGAGTTGAAATGAACGAAATGCCTGAATTACCTAGGGCCGGTCAGTATCTTGCATGAGCCTGGGTTGGACGCAGCAGCAAGTGCCTGTCCCAGGAAGAAGAGTGGCAGTGCGGTGACTGCTCACAGTGGCTCTGCCATAGCTAGGTTGGCAGGTGCAGTGCAGGGAAGATGGTGGCAGTTGGTCAGGGTAGGTAAGGATGGAGAGTGGCAGTGGGAACTGGCAGATACTTACCTGGTGTTGGCCGAGGAGCGCCTACGCGATCAGACTCTTCAGTGGCATTGGTGAAAGGAGAGAGAATGAGAGATAGTAGGGTCGTCCGTGTAGGTTGAGTAGAGAGTAGTATAGGTTTTTACATTGTGTAAATAGGGCCGCTTCTCTGTTGTTATATTGATTTTTGGAGGTGCGGAGAAGGCTTCAATTGTCAAGAGACTTTACCTTTCTGCGTGCGCTCTTAGCTTTGTCATTCTGCTTTCAACTTGCCTTCCCTACACTGTTAAAATTGGTAACGTGACAAATATAAGATCCTCGCCGTCTTCGGTCCTACCGGCCCATGGCCCGGACCAATGGGCGAATGTAACAAATCTCTGATCTGGGCTGCCGGGTCGTACCAGACAGATGGCCTGGATTGACGCGGTCTTAAGATCTTAAGACAATGCCTAAATCCATGCCGTTTGATCCTACCGGACCCAAGGCCTCAATCGACCAGGTCTTATGAGCGGAAACCGCGCTTGTACTCATGATTGGTCTTCAACGAGCTCTAGTATCTTGAACATCTTGTGTTCTCTTGTTGTTGCACTTGGGTTTCTGGAAGCTTATCCGCTCACTAAAAGTAGTGCTCTACGTAATGGTCCTTATTGATTTTTTGAATGTATCTGGATGTGACTGTAGATTTGTAAACATGTTTTTGCGAATGTTTGTGATGATGTCTGTTTTAATTGTTCAGCCTCAACGATGTTCGCGATTCAACAAGGGCAAAGGATATTGCATGCAGTGTGAAAGCAACATTTGCGATTTTGAGACATGCGTCCCATCCAATTTGTAAGGCCACAGCCTCTATGAGAGCACCACACCCGTTCCTTGCACTTTCAGATTTTACTTATCCGGAAAAACTGTCAGCTTATGAATGTGGTCTTGAGGGTGGCCATAAGGTCACCTATAGTTATCAAAGTGTGGGACCAGACTTCACACTAGGGGCATATGGCTTACCTTCAACTAGCAACAGTAGAGGAAACGAGATTGGAAGGACCTTGGCCGGTCGTTAGCCAGGCAGAGGAGGCAGTCTGGGCGTTCCTGAGTGCAGGCACCCGAGATTGGAAGGACCTTGCCAAGGTCTTGTAGCCGCCATCATCTCTGTCACAATCACCACAATGACATGGTTTCTGCATCCATGTGTTCAGAGGACTTTCCCTCCGTTCCTGACTGCAGGCACCCTCTGCATCCGTGCACCACATGTCCATTTTATACTGAATGCATGGTCTTTTGTGGTGAGCATTCTTCCTTCATTTTGGCCTGCAATCGACATGCCATTTGCCGCAGGTGTATGGTGGGCATGCTCAATGCCAGCCGTTGTTGCAATTGTACTGAGAATTCTCAGCTAGGCCTTCCATGTGTTCATCCACCTCATCCTTACAATGTATGGCCTGTCTGTCGTCAAGGACATACTCATTCTCAAGCCTTTTCTTATCCTCTCCTTTGCGTCCATCTTCATTCCACACACTGTACTTTCCCTTGCTTTCCCTTCGTTGTTTTTTTGTTTGTCTTCTCTCCATCTTTATTCCCTATGTTTATCCCGTCCCCCTTTACTCTGCCTGTTTCTCACAGCGTACAAGTGGGCCGTTATGGCACACTGGGATGCAGGCAGCTTGCACTCAACTTCATCAACGTGGCGAGCCTTGTACATGAGAGACACAGTGAAGGGGGAGTCAAAAGAAGAATGAGAAAAATGAATGGTTTCAGTATTGGATTATTTATTTATGTGATGCCCATAGGCTGCCCAGCAGCCGGTACCGGCACTGGGCATCGGGACCATGCGATAAAGGCAGGTAGGCCCAGGTGGAACCCGGTAAAACAGCCTAGGTTTTGGCTGACTTCAGAAACCTCCGGTAGGCAGTACCTACCGGTCCAAGGAAGACCTGGGAACTGTAGATTATCCTAGGACATGGCTTTAGCTGATTGATGAGGAGGTTGCGTATTGGTCACACCATGTCCTGATTGCTGCAATAGGTAGTCCATCCTCCTGATAAGCGCGTTTACACTACGCTATGCGATAAAGGCGGGTAGGCCCAGGTGGAGCCCTGTAAAACGGCCTAGGTTTCGGCTGACTTCAGGAACTTCCAGTACACAGTGGCTACCGGTCCAAGGAAGACCTGGCCATTGTACATTATAAGGTACTGCTCAAAAAATAATAATAATAATAAAAATATGAAAATAGAGAATCAAGGACAAGCTAATTGATGCAGAGTTTGCTTATCGGTCACCCCATTCCTGATTGCTGCAATAGGTAGTCCATCTTCCTGATAATCGCATCTACACTATGCCGGGGGGTGCAATGATTGCTCATGATGTCCTCTGTTGCCTTAATCCCCTTGTTCTTATTTCCTAGATTGGTCAAGTAACCCCTCCAGGAACTCATCCAGAGTCAGAGTCTCACAGTATCTATTGGTTCGAGCGTCGAACAGCCTGCACTTGACTCATCAGCAACGCCTTTGCATCTCCCTTCAGGCTAGTTGTGGCTATCACTACCTGATCTTTGGTGGGCACACATTCCACATTCATACAGGTTATAATCTCTGCTACACATGTGAGGGTGTTCTTCCTCCTTGCCAGAGTAGGAATCAGGTAATTTCATCCTATAGCTCACCCAGTACGGCAGTCTGTAACCATCCCCTCTGACCGGATCCTTCCTTTCTTCATTTTCGCCTTTATTGCCATTGTCATTGCCATCACCATTGCCATCACCATTGCCACCACTGTCTCCAGCTGTAGACTTCTGCAGTTCTGCCCTCATAGTAGCTATGAGGTTGTCATTCACCTCCCTCTGATCTGCGATCTCTTGAGATGTGTCTGGGATAGCGTGAAATGAACCGAGTACCCGTCAAGTTCAACTTGCATACACCAGCAAACATCCACATGAGAGTTCACACATGAGAAGCCAAAGCGAGATACGATCCATACTCGGAGATGTCGTCACCAATATTATTGCCAATATACAAGAATGTTTGTCACCAGCGGCTCTGCCGCACACACGCACACACACAGCGAGTCCCAACCAAGTAGCGACTATGGCTTCCCTACTTTTCTCCCACCTCTCTCTCTCTCTCTCTCTCTCTCTCTCTCTCTCTCTCTCTCTCTCTCTCTCTCTCTCTCTCTCTCTCTCTCTCTCTCTCT